AAGGATTTCGGGCGAGTATCGCGGCACGTAGGCACATCATAGCGTAAAGGAAATTTCGTATACAAAAGTATTTATTAGAAAAATAAAGTAAAATAATATATTATCTTGTTTTAATTATTCTAACTCAATATTCAATTACTTTTATGGAAGATATTACCTACTCTAAATCAAAATCATAAGTTAATTAATATAAATGAAAATATATACATATATATTGATTACCGACTGTCGAATTTGATAGATATGATAATAGATACCTAATGTACTGTCGATAATTGGAAACTACGGTCGATAATTGACAATTCTAATCGATGGATAGAAGATTGTCGCGATGATGCCGGTAGAAAGAAAAAAGGTTTCCCCAGGGACGTTACACATTATCATTTATGTTGATAAATACAACAATTGCGATGGTATCAGGACATTCTGATCAATGTAACTATTACATTAGATAATGTTCTGTTAGCGTAGTCAGTAGTAATCGTGGCAAGTACATTTTAGCACTAATATTTGCAATGAAACAACGTTAGAAGAAAAAACAATTGTTATACGGCTACACGAAGAAGGTCGATCATATAGAAATATATCAGAAATACTAAAAAGAAGTCGATCGACTGTATTAACCAGTTAACTGTGTCGCCGAAATCGAGCGATGACGAGTATATTGCGCTGGTAAGATATTGGATCAAAAAGATGGGTTTATTTTATAAAATGGACACTTTTATTACTAATGTATATTTATTTGGTTAACTTAAACATATATTACATACTTATTAGACGAAAAACGCAATAAAAATTAAATGCTATGATAAACCATCCCCGAAGGGAACCTATCATAAATCAGCTTTCCGACTTTTGTTTTTGCTTTCCTTTCACGCTAACATCTAAAAAACGTTGTTGTCGCACATAAATAAATTCGTTGTGCGAACTGGTAAGCTGTTTTAGCCGGTGCATACGGGGACGCATGAGTTCATCTCAAATTATTTATATTTTTTATTTGTTTGTTTTATTCTGGCATGGCCTCAAAATATTCTAAACATCTTGATATTTGAGAATATGTTTTGTTTTTCTCAAAAATTACAATTTAAATAGCCAATGGTCACTACTTTATACGCATAACGAGTATACTCGTCAATCACAGTTAACTGGTTAAGTATTATAAATAAGTATAAAAAGGAAGGAATATTGCGGAATAAAGGAAGAACCGGTAGACCATGAAAATTAACTACGAGAGAAAAGCGAAAAATCGTCCGAACTAATGTCGAAAGAACATTCGAAAGAAATATTAAAAAGAGAATAGTGTAATACAGAACCTAAAAAAGTTAAAAGTTTGGTGTTGTCAATGTCCAATATATTACGCGAAGTGATTTGCCGGAAGGGTTATTATACAAATTATTAATTTATAAAATTCCTGTTAAAATGATTGTAACAATAATTAAGTGTACGAATACTTTTGTTCAGGCGATTCCTTACAATTTCGTGAATTTCAAGTCATTTCATGCTAGGGGAAGGTAGCCTAATTTGGACCAATTTTATATTATTCACTATATAAAAGCATGGAAGAAGTATTAATAAAAATTAAGTAGTAGAAAAGAAACTCACTAAGTGTAGCGTCAAAATAAAACCATTTATGAAATTTTAAATACCATTTATAATAGTAAAAAATAAATTCAAAAAAATCTTGTCATCGGTCCAATTTAGGAAACCGGTTTCCTTATTTGGACCGCTAGTTTCCTAAATTGGACCATTAGCTTTTTTAACGACAATTACAACAATAGAACGTTTTAACTGCAGTACTAACTCTAGTACACGGAGTATGAATCCAAATGCGACATTTCATACATTGTATCATATCTTCTTCCTTGGTTTCTTCACACAATGTACAAAACAATGAACCACCATTTTCTTTTTTATGTTTCGGTATTTTGTCAAAGTTTGGTGAACTTATTTTTTTAAAGTTTATTCGGTCTAACTGCGATTTGTAAGGGCTGCTTGATATTTTCACTGCTTTCTGGGCTATTGGCGCACTGCAAGAAGACGAAGGACCATCTGGATTTTGATTTTTCTTTGCTCGCGGTGATATTTCTTCAAGAACACTGTAGCGTCCCGAAATGCGAGTCTTGCAGACGCTGGACTCTGGCAGGTGGAGTCTTATTGAAAAACGAATTGATTTACGACTTTATTTGTCTACGATTACAATTTGCGATATAACGTACGTTTGTACTGCTCCAGCGATTCTTGCCGAATGCCCCAGAAGCGTGGTCTTTTGCACGTTTCGACCGGTCGCCGACCGTCACTTGTCTTACCTCTCCCGGCGATGAGTTCATCTAGAGGTGCCACCGATCGATCTTTTATCGATTAATTACCCTACCAATACTCATGCACCGCTAGATGTCGACGCTTGAACCGAACATGCCGCCCCCCTTGAACTATGTATAGTTCAACCAGAATCTAATGTGATTACAATATGTAGATGTAATGTGTAGATGTAATTAACAATCTTATGCGGTGTAGCAAGTGTGATCATAATAATGTGTTCTAATCTATACTTAACATTATCTAATGATATTATTCGCTTACACTTATACTATTTACATGGATTATAGTTATGTTATTTACAAAGGCAATGGTGCTATACGTTTAATACAGCGTTTGTATTCTCCTTGGGTTGTTTTGACGGTGACCACACGTATGACTCCGTCGTCGCCTGGGTGGATTGCGGTGATTCGTCCGAGCGGCCAGTGCATTGGAGGTGCATTATCTTCTTTCAGGATAACCAGCATACCGATTGGTATATTTGGAGCCTTTGCTGTGTGCCACTTCGTCCGCGCAATTTGCTCCTGCAAGTAATCTTTAACCCATCGCTTCCAGAAATGACTTCGTATTTGTTGGATGTGTTGCCATGTTGATAGTTTGCTAACTGGGAGAGCTGAACAATCATAATCTGGCATACTCGTTAAATTTTCGCCGATAAGAAAATGGCCAGGTGTTAGGGATTGGAGATCATTAGGATCAGGCGACAAAGGTGTAATTGGGCGTGAATTTAGAATCGCTTCTATCTGGGTAATCAAGGTCAAGAGTGCTTCATACGAGAGTAATGTATCACCTATGACACGTGTTAGGTGGTATTTCGTGCGTCGAACGGCAGCCTCCCATAACCCACCAAAATGTGGTGATCTTGGGGGAATCATGTGCCAATTTATGCCGTCATTAGCCAATGCGGACGTGAGAGCGTTGTTTGTTTGCTGTGTTTTGAAGAAAGCGTACATCTCTTTTATTTCTCGCTTTGCACCCACGAAATTTGTTGCGTTATCTGAATAGATATCGCTCGGTAGACCTCGTCGCGCGAAAAAGCGACGCAGAGCTGCTAAAACGGCGTCAATTGTTAAATCGCCCACTAACTCAATATGTACCGCCTTTGTTGAGAAGCAAACGAAGATAGCTATGTATATTTTGACCTTGTTTCGATTACGTTGAACCTTCTCCTTTATAAACAAAGGGCCACAAAAATCTAAACCAACTTGGTTGAAAGGCTTAGAAGGAACTACGCGACTGAGTGGTAAATCGCCCATTTTATACTCAACAATTGGCGGCTTGGCTCGAAAACATATGACGCATTTATGAATAAGACTTCTTATGAGACGTTTAGCGTTAGGAACCCAAAATCGTTGTCGTACCGCGTTGAGGGTGGCTAAGACCCCGGCATGAAAGTGTTTTACATGTTGTTCTAAAATAATCAGATTCGTGACATGATGTTGTCTCGGTAACAAAATTGGATGTCGCGCATTATATGGAATATTTGCCTGCGACAATCGTCCGCCTACCCTTAATATCCCCTTTGCATCAATGAACGGATTTAAAGGACTGATATACCGATTGGTATATTTGGAGCCTTTGCTGTGTGCCACTTCGTCCGCGCAATTTGCTCCTGCAAGTAATTTTTAACCCATCGCTTCCAGAAATGACTTCGTATTTGTTGGATGTGTTGCCATGTTGATAGTTTGCCAACTGGGAGAGCTGAACAATCATAATCTGGCATACTCGTTAAATTTTCGCCGATAAGAAAATGGCCAGGTGTTAGGGATTGGAGATCATTAGGATCAGGCGACAAAGGTGTAATTGGGCGTGAATTTAGAATCGCTTCTATCTGGGTAATCAAGGTTAAGAGTGCTTCGTACGAGAGTAATGTATCACCTATGACACGTGTTAGGTGGTATTTCGTGCGTCGAACGGCAGCCTCCCATAACCCACCAAAATGTGGTGATCTTGGGGGAATCATGTGCCAATTTATGCCGTCATTAGCCAATGCGGACGTGAGAGCGTTGTTTGTTTGCTGTGTTTTGAAGAAAGCGTACATCTCTTTTATTTCTCGCTTTGCACCCACGAAATTTGTTGCGTTATCTGAATAGATATCGCTCGGTAGACCTCGTCGCGCGAAAAAGCGACGCAGAGCTGCTAAAACGGCGTCAATTGTTAAATCGCCCACTAACTCAATATGTACCGCCTTTGTTGAGAAGCAAACGAAGATAGCTATGTATATTTTGACCTTGTTTCGATTACGTTGAACCTTCTCCTTTATAAACAAAGGGCCACAAAAATCTAAACCAACTTGGTTGAAAGGCTTAGAAGGAACTACGCGACTGAGTGGTAAATCGCCCATTTTATACTCAACAATTGGCGGCTTGGCTCGAAAACATATGACGCATTTATGAATAAGACTTCTTATGAGACGTTTAGCGTTAGGAACCCAAAATCGTTGTCGTACCGCGTTGAGGGTGGCTAAGACCCCGGCATGAAAGTGTTTTACATGTTGTTCTAAAATAATCAGATTCGTGACATGATGTTGTCTCGGTAACAAAATTGGATGTCGCGCATTATATGGAATATTTGCCTGCGACAATCGTCCGCCTACCCTTAATATCCCCTTTGCATCAATGAACGGATTTAAAGGACTGATACCCGCGTTCAAACGACCCGAACTATTTAGCGCGTTGAACACCTGGAAATAACTTTCTTGCTGTATAGCTCGAATAATATACGTTTCTGCCCGGAGAATTTCGGAGGCCGATACCATACCCTTGTTGGCTTCCTTCTTTGAACTATTAAATCGAAAACGTAAAATGTAGGCAATGATGCGTTTAAGTCTAGAATAGGATGAATATTTCTCGAAGCCGTTCCAATTCACAACGCGCGAAGGCAATGCGATTGAAGGGCGTAATTCAGGTAGCTCAATTGGTTCCAACCTGAAAGCTGGCCAGTGCTCTTCAGCCTTCGCCAACCAGCTCGGTCCATGGAACCAAAATATATTATTTACTAGTTCCGTTGGAGATAAACCGCGAGATATTAGATCAGCTGGGTTGTTTGCTGACGATGCATGACGCCACTCGATACCACTGGTAACATTTTGAATTTCGTTTACGCGATGTGCAACAAAGGTTTTGAGTGTATGAGGTGGTGTTCTTATCCAGTGCAATGTAATTGTTGAATCGGACCAGAAGATAGTTCGATTAAATGAAATTCTTCGTAGTGAACTAGTTATTGTCTGATATAATTTCGCTAATAAATGCGCCGCGCATAGCTCTAAGCGTGGCAACGTAACAGTTTTTAGAGGCGCCACTCGTGATTTGGCTGAAAGTAGTTTTACAATTATGTTACCGTGATGATCGAATGAACGTACATAGAAACATGCGCCGTACGCCTGCTCGCTGGCGTCACAAAAACCGTGTAACTCCAACGATACACTCGCCTTACATGTAATTTGTCTAGAAAAAGTGATGTTACGTATCGAATTCAATTCTCTACAGAATGTAAGCCAAAACGTATGTATGTCTGTTGGCACAGATTCGTCCCAACTTAATTGCAATTTCCAAAGTTTCTGCATTAGAATTTTTGCTCGTATTATAATAGGCCCGAGTAAACCCAACGGATCAAATAACGAAGCGATTACCGACAATATTGATCTTTTTGTTACGCGCGTGTTATATTCGATTTCCTTTACATCGTATATTATTGTGTCGTGTTTTGCATTCCAACCCAAACCGAGAGTTTTTACGGTACCGTCCAGGTCCAGTCGTAAATGCGTGGCGTCCGTTTTGTCATCTAAAGAGTCGATCAACGTGGGTTCATTTGTTGCCCATTGCCTCAGCTTGAATTTTCCCTTGTCGCATAATGTAATGAGATCGTCCCTAATTGCAATGGCCTCTTCTCGCGTGCTCGCGCCCGTCAACAGATCGTCGACATAAAAATCCTCTCGCAATGCTCTCTCCCCGTGTGGAAAATCTTTTCCTTCGTCTAAACTAAGTTGTAATAAAGTACGGGTAGCTAGAAAAGGCGCTGCGGAGGTACCGTATGTTACCGTATTTAACGTGTAAGTTTTTATGGGTTCGCGATGAGATTTCCGCCACAATATTTGTTGATATTTGCGATCATTAGGATGTACTAGTACCTGACGGTACATTTTTTCTATGTCCGCGGTCAATACGTAATTATGGAATCTAAATCTAAGAAGAAGTGAGTACAAGTTATCTTGGATGGTTGGACCGGTTAATAACATGTCGTTTAATGATACTCCGTTGGATGTTTTTGCCGACGCATCAAAGACCACGCGAAGTTTGGTGGTCAGGCTGGATTGTTTTATTACTGCATGATGGGGTAAATAATAACCGCCGTCTAAGTTTGTAGCTTTAGTTTCGGACATATGACCTAATCGAATGTATTCTTCAAGAAATTCCGTATATTTAATCTTTAATTGTGGTTCCTTAGTTAATTTCTGTTCTAATGATCGAAATCTTCGCAACGCGACAGAAAATGATTCTCCTAAACCCTTGGTGTTTTCTTTAAATGGCAATTTAACAATGTATCGACCGGTGATCGGATCGCGTGTAGTGTTTGCTATGAAGTGACTTTCAGCTTCGCGTTCTTCTTCAGACGAGATGGGAGCGTGAATAGGTTCTTCTAATTCCCAAAATTTCGCGATTTGTTCGTGAATACCTTCGCGTGCTACGTTGCATCGAGTTGTTTGAGCTGTGTCGTGATCGGGTATTCTTCCGCCAATTACCCAACCAAGCTTTGTTTTTTGTAACGTAATCGAATTATCTCTTAACTTAATCTGACCCACACATAATAATTGTAAGAATAGTTCCGCGCCTATCAAACCGTCGATTTCTGCTGAGCGGTCGAACGAAGGATCCGCGAGTGGTAAATTTTTTGGAATTTTGAGTTCCCCCTTCGAGATTGTGCGCGATGGTAATACGTCAGTAATTTGTGGGAGAATTAAGAATGTAACATCGGCTTGAAATTGATTTATACGCGATTGAATTTTCGTTTTAATTGCGTGCTTTATTGTTGTCGTGTTTTTATTAATACCGATTACCGGAATGTTAATTTTCTGACGCGGTAAATTTAACCTACACGCGGCTTGCTCGGTTAAAAAATGTGACTGCGACCCGGAGTCCAACAATACCCGACACGGTTGTAACTGACCCTCGTTATTTGTTATATGAATTATGGCAGTGGACAATAATGTCTCCGATCCGACGTTCGCGCTTAGAGCCGACATGTTTAACTGACCCGAAGACTGACTATCGCTACTAGTTTCTTTATGTAATAGAGTTTGGTGATTCCCGTTGCATTGTTTGCATGA